CAGGGGCAGATATATATATATATATATATATCTTGGCCTTTAATCAATAGAGACAGCTGAAGAGTGACAGAAAAGCAGGGAAAGAGGGGGGATGACACGCAGCAAAGGGCCACGGGTTGGACTTAAAACCATGGCCACTGCAGAAAGAACTCACCCTTAGTGCATGGGGCACCAGCTATACCAGGTGAGAGCTACCAGGGCACCCCTTGTAGTCTGCTTCTTTTTATTGTAAAGTAAATGGACTTTTTACTTTTGGTGAAACAAATTATTTTAATAATTTTTTTTGAGTAAAATATTAATTTATTGAATTGATTCACCTGGAATTATTTGCTAGATTCATTTATTACTTAAATGCATACAAATGGTCATCAGTTGAAAACCTAATTGCTAATCCACACAACTGGTTAGGCTCTCTGCAGCAGATCCCTTCTTTTGCATGAACATTTCCAGGTTTGTTTTTATAAAAACCTATACATCCTTGTCAACAAAGCCTTAAAATGATCCCTCAAAAGAAAAAAAGAAGTCACCACTTTTGTATGTTGAAACGGAATGGTTCTTACAACAAAATATTTCCTGCAGTTCACATGCAGTAGAAATATAGCTGATGTAACAGATCATTAAGTATTTAGTAGCAGTGACTATGCGTACCAGTCTGCGGATGTCCCTCTCACAGTCCCACTTGATTTTGGAGATCTGCTCCTGGTGCTGCTGGTGCTCCACCCGCAGGTCACCAGCCTTCATCTTGTCGGCTTGGATCATGTTGCTGAGAGCCTCGTCCGTCTGCTTCTTAACACTCTTCAGCTCCGCTATCTCCTGCAGGAGCTTCACTCTCTCCTGGTCAAAGAAGCGACGTGCATCCTCCTTGGCCTCTAGGGTCAGTGCAGTACGCACCTGAAGAAGCAGAGGAGAAAGAGGATGATGTAGCTTGGCAGAATTTCCATAGAACACTTTTCAGTCTATTTTTATTTTTTTAGATTATCTGGGGAAATGATAGGTGAGTAATGAGTATTTATTTCTAGAGTTCCCCCCATCAGGAGCTTTTTCTCATAAGTAAAGGGGGCTGCCAAGCCCGTCTGTCCTGGTTTAGTTCCACATCTGCTGCTTTGGGATTTTGTTTTGGGTTAAATGTATCTATTATTTTTGTCTATATCTGTTTCAAAACTTCAAAATCAACATCTTCACTCCCCTATCGTAACCTCACCTTCTCTCCGCTGCCATCGCGCATGGCGCTCAGTGCGGCTTTGAGCCTCTGGTTCTCTTGGTCTTTAATTTTGGCGTGGCGGGCCAGCTCCTGCTCATGCTGCCGTGTCAGGTTTTCCCTGAGAGCCTGGAGCTCCTTTAGCTTTTCCTCGTGCCACTTGGCCCGCTGCTCTGTTACCATGGCAGTGTGGCGGTGCTGCTCCTGCTCTCGCACCCGCTTCACCTCCTGCTGCTTGTCGCGCTCCAGTTTGCTCACCTTTGAGAAGAGCAACAGAGGAGGAGGAAAGAGGAATTAGGTTATTTTACTGGCACAACTACTACTGTACTCCAAATAGGCTTCAGTCCTTTTTTTAAAATTTGACTCTCTGATTTGTCTTTATTTAATCTTCCTTGATTTAATTGTAATTGATTTAGTTGAAGTTATAAGGTTATTCATGCTCTTGCCAAACCAACTTTCACATTAATTCAAAAGTGTGTAATGAAATGTAGTCAGAGGTTCTTCGCACGCAACGCACAGCAAACAAAGTCCTATTCAATATTTTACCTGATCAGCCTAGTTTAGCATATCTGGCGCTTTACTATTAACTAGACATACCTGCATAAGTTCTAGACATCATTATGCCATGTACAGTGTCTTGTCACAAGATGTATTTGCACCTCAATCTTAATATACTAAGTTTACATTGTAAGTGACCTACAATATTTAAAATATTCAAGGACAATATATGTATTTTGTTATTGTACGGTACCTTGCATTTTTCTTGGTGTAGCTCTATCTGAATGTCAGTCAGCTTGGACCTGAGATCTTCATTGGCTGCCTGAAGGGCAGAGATAAGCGCTTCGGGCTTCTCGCCCTTTGTACGCCCTTTCTTGGCCATTGAATCAAATACTAGAGAGGCTCTTCTACAGCTTTCATTGAGACTTCACAGAAACTTTCCAAGGCGCTCCCAAGGTTTTCCAGTTCCTCCTCTTCCTCATTCTCCTATCAGACAAAGGGGCTTGGGGATTAGAGGAGAGACAAAGAGAGACAGAGTGAGACATAGTACTGCAAAATTGAAATAATTAAGTGATGTTCATTTCATGGTAATCCATTCAATAGTTGTAGAGAGAGTTCACCCTCATTGTGTTGAGAAAAAGTCCTAAAAGACCATGTCGGTACAGATTGCATGACTTCATTTTCTAGTTTCAAATCTGTAATTCCTTATCCTTTTCAATTTGTTATGGTGTCTTTGATCTCAAGAAAAGACATCACATGCACATCATATAGAGCAGTAACCCCCAAGAAATTAATTATGGATGGCATTCATCTATATTTACCGAAAAACTGTCTTTTTAAAAACAGCTGTCTCTGAACTCTAACAGAACATGTCAATTCACCAACACGAAACACTTCATAATAGATGACATTTTATACATTAAAACATTATACAACACCTATGAGAAAGTCTGATATAGTAATCTGCGTTTAAGAATTACCGCAGATCACTCATACACACAAACTTGGAACAGTACTTTCGTAACCTGAGGAGGGATGCCATAACAGGAAATCAAAGGTATTCTAGATAGATGTTATGGCCTTTTAAAGTAACATTCCACTGGAAATTACCTTGCAGCAAAAAACACTGCTTAATGGCACTTTTTGGAACTGTAGATGTGTACTTATTAAGTATTATTCTATGTTGCTGCTGCAGGAGCTATAGATAGATAAAGTGACGGTAATGTTATCAGTGGAGTGCAAGTAGAGAGTCATAATGATGAGTTCAAGAGTTCAACAAACAGATGAGTAAAAAGTTTTTTGTTTTTTTTTTAAAAAACTGTTTTTTTTCAGAACAAATGGTTGTCTTGATGGGCAAACTCAGTGGTAATCCTTCCTGTCCTACTATTTGCCTTTTCTTCATGCACAGCTTGAGGTCAGCTAAAAGCCAATGACCTGCTGAGTACCGCAGACAGACATGCTAAGGACTTATATAAGCAGGATGGCTAAACTATGAGAAAGAGTCAACGGTTGTGATGGATTGTACCAGCCAAAATTACTTTGTGCACCATGAACATTTTAGTTGACATGAATAGAACATTTTTCTTTTGGTTTTTTTTTATTTAAGCAGACATATTTGTGACTTAGGGAAAGGTCAGTTCACAGATCCATCAATGTCATCCTTTCAAATTATGACATGAAGTTTGCATCTTTGAGCAGCATTATGACAAGCCCCACCAGAGCAGCACTTTTGCCTCTGATCGCAAAACCTGATTAGAAGAACATGCGAGACCTCATTATCTGAGTTCACAAGCAGCTGAACTGCACCAGTATCAGGAAAAAAAACAACCGATACCCAACCCCAGGCTTCAGTACATTGCTCAAGGCCATTTTGCAAAGAAACAGATGTCACTGCAGATGTCCTACCAACCTCCAGCTGGAATACACTATGCTTTCAGTGTTGTGGATCGAACCAGAAATCCTTTGGATACTGGTTGACTAAACTAATGTGGTCAGACAAACTCTAACTGTATTATTGATTAATTATAAAATGAAATCTCTATTGACCCACAATTATGTTTTACTGCTACTTACAGTATGGTACCAATCAACACATATCATCTGCATGAATTATAATAATCTCTCTGAATTATTAAAAAAAAAAAA